AAACATAAATACAAATGCATGAACAGCAGAAGGCTAATTAGATAAATAGGACTTCATAAAAATTAAATACTTATGCTTATCAGGAGACTTTATTAAAAGCATTAAAAGAGAACCTTTAGACTAGGACACTGCATGGTTTAAAATCAAGAAGGAAGTGTGTCAGGGTTGTATCCTTTCCCCATACTTTTCAATCTGTATGCCAAGCAAATAATCCAAGAAGCTGGACTGTATGAAGAAGAATATGGCATCAAGATTGGAGGAAGAATTATTAACAACCTGCGATACACTGACAAGACAACTTTGCTTGCTAAAAGTGAGAATGATTTGAAGTATTTACTGATGAAGATTGAAGAATATAGTCTGCAGTATGGATTACATCTCAATATAAAGAAAATAAAAATCCGCACAACTGGACCTATAAGCGGCATCACGATAAATGGAGAAAAGATTGAAGTTGTCAAAGACTTCACATTGCTCAGTTTTACAATTGATGCCAATGGAAGCAGGAGTCAGGACATTAGATGACGTATAGCACTGGACAAGTTGGCTGCAAGGGACCCCTTTCAAGTGCTGAGGAGCAAAGATGTCTCCTTGGGGACTAAGATACGCCTGACACAAGCTATGATATTTTCAATCGCCTCATATGCATGTGAGAGCTGGACAATGAATAAGGAAGACCAAAGAAGAATTGATGCTTTTGTTGTGGTGTTGGCAAAGAATGCTGAAAATACCGTGGACTGCTATAAGAACTAACAGATCTGTCCTGGAGGAAGTGCAGCCAGAATGCTCTTTGGAAGTGAAAATGGCCAGACTTCATTTCACCTGGTCATGTTGTCAGAAGGGTCCATTCCCTGGAGAAGGATGTCATGCTTGGTAAGATGGAGGGTTGACAAAAGAGGGGAAGACCCTCAATGAGATGGACTGACACAGTAGCTGTGACAATGGGCTCAGGTATAGCAAGTATCATAGAGCTGGCATGGGACCGGGCAGTGTTTTGTTCTGCTGTGCATAGGGTCGCTATGAGTCAGACACGACTCAATGGCAACTAACAACACCACCAACAACACAGACTAGGAAACATTTTCAGAAATAACATATCCAATAAGGATAAATATATAGAAAACTTCAACAACAAGACGAACAGCCCAATTAAAAATGGGCAAAGGACATGAACAGACATCACCAAAGAAAACATTTAAGCAGTCAAGAAACAGAAAAAAGATGTTCATGATCATTAGACATTAGATAGACGTAAATGAAAACCACCAAGAGATATCATCTCACCATGGCTAAAATGACATTGATTAAAAAAAAAGGTAACAAATGTTAGCAAGGATGTAGGGAGACTAGAACCCTTATACATTGATGATAGGACTGTAAAATGGTACGATGACTATGGAAAACAGCATGGCACTTCCTCAAAAACCTAGAAATAGAAATATCTTATCATCCAGTAACTTCACTCCTAGGTACATACCCTGCAGATCTAATAAAAGAGATATGGACAGATACAAACATACCTATGTTTGTTGCAGCATTATTTACAATGGGGGAAAAAAAAAAGGAAACAGTCAAAGTGTCCTTCAATGGATGAGTGGATAAGCAAAATGTGGTACACACATACAATGAAATACTATGCAACCAAAGCAATGGCAAGTCTGTGAAAAATGTTATATAATATAAATCGATCTGGAAGACATGATGTTAAGTGAGATAAGCCAATCATGTAGGACAAATTTTGTACGATCCCATTTTTATAAGAAGGCAAAAACATGTATATACACATATATCTTAAAATAAATAAAAAAACTCACTATTGTTGAGTTGATTCTGACTCATATTGACCCCTCCTTGGGTTTCCAAGGCAGTATCTCTATGGAAGTAGATTTCACAGTCTTCCTTCCGATGAGTGGTTGATGGGTTTGAACCACCAGACTTCTGGTTAGCAGTCAAATGCCTAAGGCACTACACCACCAGAGCTCATATATATATACATACATACACCAAAAAACCCAAAACTCACTGCCATCAAGTCAATTCTGACTCACAGCAACCCCCTTTGCGTTTCTGAGGTGGTAAATCTTTACAGAAGTAGATTGCCCAGTATTCCATCTGCAGAGTGGGTGGTGGGTTTGAACCACCAATCTTCTGGTTAGCAGCCTTAGGCACTACACCACCAGAGCTCCATATATATACATAGACCAACTTTCATTGGTGGTAACCAGGCATGGATGTGTAGAAAGGAGAATCATTCTCTAGACTGTAGATAACTGATAATTTTGGTGATAGGAAATGTGGAATCAAATGTGGCTATAATAAGCACAGTTTGATCAAAGTAAATGTTGCCACTAAGAAGTGCTCAAGAGAAAAAAAAGATGTTGGTGCTAAAGAATATAACATATATAATTTGGCAACAACACCAATAATCAAAAAATGAGTGTATGGTCAACATGTATGTATATATGAGTAAACACCCCCAAAAAATCCACTGCCTTGGTGTTGATTCTGACTCACAGCAACCCTACAGGACAGGGTAGAATTGTCCCTGTATGTATGTGTACACAGACAGAAGTAGCTACATATAAGTGTATGTGTGTGCACATATGTATATTCATAGAGGACACAGTTACAGATACGTCTCAGACATAACCAAACACCTTGTGAGATTGGTTTTCTGGGTTTGATGGCTTTGGACCTTAGTGTATGGGACTTCTCAGTCAATTGACATTATATAGTTCATAAAGTTCATGTTCCATTCCTAGTTATCTGGGGTCATAAAACTTGTGTATAGTCATCTAAGCTACAACTACTGGACTCTACTCAACAGAAGCAAAAGAGAAAGAAGGAAACAAAAGTGTCACAGAAGAAACCAGTCTACAGGACTAATAGTCTACACGAGCCACAGCCTCAGGCCAGAAGAACCTGAGACCAGAAGAACTAGATGGTGCCTGGCTACTGCTACCACCCATTCTGATCAAGACCACTGGAGACAGACCCTGACAGACCAGAAGGAAAACCCAAAATAGAACCCAAAGTCTTAAAAAGTCCATACTTACTGGGCCAGTTGAAACTAGAGGATTCCCAGAGACTATCGCCCTGAGATGCTCTTTAAACCTTGAACAGAAATTATCCCCTGAGGACAAGTTTCTAGTGAAATAAGAGACTAGCACAGAAAATAAAGGATATGATCCAAGGATACAGTACTTCATTAAAAAATCACCTACATGAGACCAAAAGGTCTACAATTACTGGTTGTCCTGTACTTAACAACATATTTATGACAAAGTACACTTACAACTATCTTTTCTTTTTTTGCACATCTTATTGACAGTAATATATATTACACACAATATTTCAGTGTGTAATTTGCTGATGTTACCATTCTCAGATGTTTACTTGCACATGTTCAAAGTTCAGACAATAAAAGGCAATAATGAAACTAAAAGTAAAAAAAGGAGGTATTCAAGTTATGTTAGAACTGACTTACAATGGAGTCACAGGCATGAAACTCTGTCAGGGACTACCTACACTCTAAAACAAAGATGAGAAGGTAAAAGTACTGGAACAGAACAACCAGAACACAATTACAGAGAATGGTGACACATTGTGAAAAAGCAAACTAATGTCATTGAACAACTTGTATGGACATTGTCAAGTGAGAAACTAATTTGATGTGTAATCTTTCACTAAAAAAAATAACACAATAAAGTGTTATTTTTTAAAAAGAAAAACAATATCTAAAACCCAACAATAGGGAGTGGGTTAAATTAATTATGAAAGTTACTTGGTAGATCATGCAGCTGTTGAAAATTGAGGTTTCTTTGGTTCTTTCTTTTAACTTTTCATTATGATTTGGTAAAGTTTTAGGAAGCATATTTGTTTTACGAATCAGTTCATACACATTTTGTTTCATGACACTAATTACATGCCCTGTAACAGCTCTCCTCCCGCTTCCTCCCTGTTTTTACCCTCTCCCTCTGCCCTTCTGGCCTATGCATTGTAACTTCCTACCTTTCTCTGGTAGCATAGTGGCTAAGGCACTTGACTGCTAACCAGAAGGCTGGCGGTTCAAACCCACCAGCCACTCCTCGGAAGGAAGATGGGGCAATCTACTTTCATAGTGATACTGCCTCGGAAACCCAAGGAGGGGTCGGTATGAGTCGGGTCCGACTCGACGGCACATAACAACAACAACAACACCTTTCTCCCTGTGAAAATGCTGCCCTTCTGATATCCCACAGATGATTGTTCTCAAAAGTACATCTGCCTAGTGTAGTTTTTTGGCTAGTAGACCTGTCTGTTGTTTAGCTGAGAGCTAAGCTAGAAGAGTGCGTTCAATTCCAGGCTTGACGGGTAACTTGGGGCCATAGTCTCAGGGGTTCCACAAGTTATCCAACCAGTAAACCTGATCTTTTTTATGCTTTTTCAAAATTTTGTTCCACATTTTTTCTCCCATCTACCCAAGATCTCCAATTTTGATCCCTTTCTGACTGGTTGGCATTGGTAGCTCAGGCATCATCTAGTTTTTCTGGTCTCAGGGTCATATAGTCTGAGATTCTCATGGTCCATTAGTCCTTTTGACTAAATGTTTCCATTCATCTTTGATTTTCTTCACTCTTCTTTGCTCCAGATGAGAAGAGATCAATAGTTGCATCTTGAAAATTGAATTTCTGAAGAATTTTCAATGATATTGGAAAACACCCATGATATAATGAGGGGGAAAGAAGGTAATTAAACAATATTAATGGCATAATCCTCACTTATATTAAAAAGAGAAAAATGATAGAAAGAAATACATCAACATGTAAATAATTATTATTTCAGGATTGGTGGATTCCAGGTGACTTATTTTCTTCTTTATATTCTCCATATTTTCAAATTTGTATATAATAAACACATATTACTTTAACAAATAGAAAAACACAAGGTTTTGAAAGCTATCCAAGTAAAGACAGCATTTATGATAAAAAAAAAAAAAGGAAATGTTTGGATAAAATTACCTGGTTCTAAACTACGAACTTCCACAGAAAGTTTGGAAGGAGGGATATCTTCAGCTGCCACCAGCCAATCACTATTCCGCATCCGTTTGTATTCTACCTTGAAGGCAGTGATAGGAGAACCCCCATTTGCCCGAGGAATCCAAGTGACGTAGACTGAGGTCTCTGATGCAGTGGAGATAGTGGGGCGGTCTGGGGCCTCTGGAACTAAAAATAGGAACATTCATTTCAGTAACTCATGTTGTCAGAAACAAGAAAAACTTTACGCAATAATATTGGCAAGATGTTGGTAATTATAGATGTTGGGTTTGGGTTATGCCATGTTGGGTTTGTGTGTCAACTTGGCTAAGCCTGGCTGAATGGCTGGGCAGCTGGTTGTAGTACTCCCCATGATGAGACTGGAAATCAACTCCATGGTGGAATCTGCTGTGAGCAGCTGAGTAGCTGCCTTAGGGAATGTGGTCTGCTTCCTGTATATAAGCAGAAGCCTTGGGGAATGGTCTCTAGCTTATGGCATGCTTGGACCCTGCATGTAGCCATGTCATTGTTCAGCAGCCTGCCATGCTCTGCCGACCTTGGGACTTACAATGGACTTAAATTAATGGCCTGCCGTGTGGTTTGGTAACATTGGGACTGTGTCTTTTTACTTGTCAACCTTGGGTTTGTCAGCCTCAGCAGCCAGCAGCTGTCTGAGTGAAGAAATGCCTCTAGCTCCAGTGGGCCAGGAGCAGGAGGCAGAGCTGGACCCCAAGGCTGAGGGGCTTTCACCCAGTCCCTAGAGCCTGGCACTTTGAAGTTGGACTTAAAGCCTCTAAACTGTAAGAAAATAAACTCTTATTTGTTAAGTCAATCCCATATGTGGTATATTTCCTGTCAGAGTAGTACTAGGTAACCAGAACAGCCATTCTCTCTACTTTTATATACACATGAAAATTAATTCAACAATGAAAAATAGAAAAAAAAAAAAAAGCCAGAACATCTTAAATAAACCAAAAGGTATAAATCCTAAGACCTAATTTTATTACAGACTCTTCATCAAACTTTTGCCAAAGTTAATTATATTATGACTATTTTCCCATCTTCTGTTAAAAGAGCTAATAGAAAACAAAATGATGAACTGCAGGGAAATAAAGTTCATGGCAAACACCATGTATAAGTAGTCATTTACAATAAATTTTCACAATTATTCATTATCTTATTTAAATGTTTTTCTTTATTCATCCAAGCTATGTAAAACACATTCACCAAACCAATGCACAGTTTATTATATTAGCAATTACTATTACATCTTATTGTAACACACCTCAAAGTTTTAGGAATGCTACTCCAAAATACAGATTGCAAGCAGTAAACAGAAACAAAATTTGACTAATAAAATTAATAGTTACTAATGGGAAGAGTATGTCATTCAGGAGGAAAGCAGAAAGAATAGGTAGTTAAGTAAAGAAAGGTGCTATCAAAAAAAAAAACAGATGATCAGCGTAGAATAAGGGGGGATCAGAAAGTTGCATCTACCAGTTTTCAGTTAGCACTACCAAAGGTAGGAAATGCCCCAACACACAAATTAGACAGTCTGATCCCTGTGCCAGGTAGAAACATCAGGCTTAAATTCAGCCATTTAGATCATGTACCTAACTCCTTTGGTTGACCAAGCAACTTGTGGTTTTAACTAGCTTCCCACAGGCTCCTGTAAGAAAGAATGCTGACACTAACAGTTTGAAGGGTATGTTGATCATATTGCAAATTAGTAAAGTGCCATTCTCATTTACACTGATCACCTGTGGATACTGAAAATGTGAGCTGGTTCTCAGAGACTGCCTATGTTTTGGCATGCTGACAATTAAGTTTCAAGAACTGAAACAATAAAGACCAACTATGGGCCACGGTTAGGAGCTCTGGTAGCATAGTGGCTAAGTCACTTGCCTGCTAACCAGACGGCTGGCGGTTCAAACCCACCAGCCACTCCTCGGAAGGAAGGTTGGGCAATCCTACTTCCGTAGTGATACTGCCTCGGAAACCCAAGGAGGGGTCGCTATGAGTCAGGGCCGACTCGACGGGACATAACAACAACAACAACAACAATGGGCCACGGTTAAGGAGCTCTGGTGGCATAGTACCTAAGGCATTTGACTGTTAACGAGAAGGTTGGCAATTCAAACCCACCAGCTACTCCACAGAAGGAAGACTGGGTAATCTACTTCCATAAAAATTTACCGCCTCAGAAACCCAAAGGGGGTCATTATGAGTCAGAATCAACTCGATGGCAGTGATTTGTTTTTTTTGTTTTATAGACCATGGTTAGATTACACTGGTGAATCTCAGGTAAAACCCTCTGTCTCAACACTTCTTCCACCCACAATACAAATACATGTTGTTGTTTTTGTTAGCTGCCATCCAGTTGACTTTGATTCATTGTGACCTCATGCACAGAACAAAATATTGTGCAGTGCTGCACCACCTTCCTGATTATTAGTATGTTACACCTAGGGGACTCATCTTCCAGAAATAAATCAGACAATATTTGGTTGTGATCTATAAGGTTTTCATTGGCTAATATCTGGAAGTAGATTGCCAGGTCTTTCTTCCTAGTCTGAATCTGGAAGCTCTGCTGAAACCTGTCTCCCATAGATGACTCTGTGGTTTTGAAATATTGGTAGGGAAGCTCCCAGCATCATAGCAACACACAAGCCACCTCAGTAAGACAAACTGACAGATGTGTAGTGGAATACAAATACATAGGAAGAAAGAAAACTGTTGAATACTCTTATGGCGAAAATTATGGCATTCTAAAAGCAAATTGCTTAAAGGGTAAAAAAAAAAAAAATACATGCAAAGCAGGCAACTTCAAGTAATACTTACTGTATTCCTTTCAAGTTAGAAAGCAATGGAAACAGAATGAATAGAACTGTTAATGAATCTCTTTTTTCAAATTAGACAACCAGACAACTTCTTTGTTGATTCAAATGATGTTAAACTCATCAAAGAACATCACAGATCAAAGAGGAAAAGAAAGACTTAAGGAAAATATATCTACAGAAATCAATATTTCCAATACTTAAAAGAAAAAAATAGATGTGATGGTCAACAAGGTATAAAAAAAGAACACTGTACTTGGAGTTAGAAAACCTGGATTTGAACAGCAGTTCCACCACCTTCTGGATGACTGTGGGCATATTTCATAACCTATTTGAGTCTCAGTTTTCTAATTTGTAAGAGAGATACACAACCTCCCTCATAGGATTATTACAGTTATCTCTGCTTAGAAAACTTGAAACTCATGACTTCTAGAATTAATTTCGTAATCTTTGCCTAAAAATTCTTATTACTTAAATTTTGGTAAATAGGTCCTATTGCCCAACCCAAGTCACTGTATTTCTCCTCATTCAATACAGAGTCAGTGTAAATCTGTCATATATGTCCTCTTTCTCCATTCACCTTGCCACTATCCTTCTTACTTACTTCTCTAGGTTTATCTCTTGCCATCCTTCCCTTGCCCCTCCCTTCAACCCCTGTAGGGCTCTTTATAGATTTCAGATCTTCCTATTTACTAAGATCCAAATGTTAAGTATATCATATGAGGCACCTATCTCACTCTGGTCACATTAAATGAAATCTAGCATGTCTGCTTGTTCAAGAAGCTGTCTGTGCCTAGAACACTCTTTTTGTTTCTTTCCCTAGTTATAGTCTTCTTGTCTTTTGGGGCTTAGCTGCAGAAGCAGAGGTAAGCCTTTCTGACCACCATTTACCCTCGTCTATATCAAGTGGGGTGACTTAGATATTTCTCTTGTGATACCACAATACCAAGAGTATAATCTCTAACACAACAAGTCAAAATCATTGCTATTAGTTTGTCTATCGTTGTTGTTGGCTATTGTCAAGTTGGCCCGACTCACCGTGACCCCATGAACCATGGAACACAGACTGCTGTGATCCACAGAGTTTTCATTGGTTCATTTTCAGAAGTAGATTGTCAGGCTTTTCTTTCTAATCTGCCTTAATCTGGAAGCTCTGCTGAAACCCAAACGGGATGCTAAACCCATTTAGTATCATTGTTGTTGTTGTTGTTGTGTGCCGTCGAGTCGGACCCAACTCATAGCGACCCCTCCTTGGGTTTCCGAGGCAGTGTCACTACGGAAGTAGATTGCCCCATCTTCCTTCCGAGGAGTGGCTGGTGGGTTTGAACCACCAGCCTTCTGGTTAGCAGTCAAGTGCCTTAGGCACTATTTAGTATCATAGCACCACACAAACTTCCAATGAAAAACAAGTGGTGGCTACCTGTGAGGTGATTGCCTGGGAATCAAACCCAGGTTTCCCACATGGAAAGTTGAGAATTCTATCACTAAATTACCACTACTGTCCATTTTTCTATATTATTCACTATATGGTTATTAGGAGCTCTGGTAGCATAGTGCCTAAGGCACTTGACTGCTAACCAGAAGGCTGGCAGTTCAAACCCACCAGCCACTCTTCGGAAGGAAGGTTGGGCAATCCTACTTCCGTAGTGATACTGCCTCGGAAACCCAAGGAGCGGTCGCTATGAGTCGGGGCCGACTCGACGGCAAATAACAACAACAACATATGGTTATTGGTTTGTCAATATCACCCACTATACTGTAAATTTCTTAAAAGCAAGGACGTTTCTCTGCTGCTCCAATATTTAGCAAAGCATCTACTACAGTTTGTGTTAAATAAACAGTAAGGTTTTTTGTTTCTCAGATGCTAGTATTATTCATATAAATTTTGATAATTATTTAAGTAGTCTGCTTAAAATAGCTGAAATGTTCCTCAGAGGTGAAAGTACTCAAGTAAAAGAGGCTCTGCTTAGAGGCTCTCCAGAGGGCAGTTCAAAAATGTTATGGCCTTATGAGTTGGGTCTGACTCAACAGCACATAACAACAACAACTTTTGTCTAACACCAATTCAGGGAAACCACAAATATATGGAAAAGAAGTTTGAAGATCTTCAAGCTCAGCAATGAAATCTTAAGTTTTTCCCCAGATGTAGCGGCAGATTAGCACAATCACAAAAAGCACATTATGTTGCAACTGTAGCACTGGTAAGTGTGCAATTTAAATACCAAAAAGAAGTCTTTTAAAATTTTTACTGCCAAGACATTTAAAAAATCATAAGATTAACTAGATAGTGCAATGAAATTGAGTATGATACATACTCCTTCCATAAAAGAAACAAAATCTTTCCACGGGTAACACCATACATTTTGCTATGCCACCTCACAAAGAGAGAGACTTTCCATGCTCAAGATATAAATTTGCCTTCCTTTGCCAGAGGAGAGACAAAATAACCCTTTGATTAAGTTATAAAACTTAGCACCAGAAACCTTTTGAATCTGAGTGATTGACTTAATACTAGTCATGACACTGGATTTCCAAATTTGAAAACAGGAGACTGAAAGAGCTAAAGGGTAGGGCATGCTTGATAACAGACACCCTACACCACCCCTTCCCCCAAATAATCTGAAGCAGGTCACTAACATTTGTAAACAAACAATATGAATAAAATGCAGATCCTTTCCTTTACCTCCACTGTGCCGAGAGGAATCTGTAAGCACCACTCCAAAGTTGTTGCTTGTAACCTCTGAATCAACAGGATGCTTAGGGATTCCTATGGGTGGAGCAGATGCCTGAGTGTTTTTTGATGAGGCTGTTTTTTCTAGAAATATTAAAAAATATATATATATATCCTGTAACACAAGCTTATGTATAGTAAAGTAAGAAAAGAGCATTGTGAAACTTCAAATGATATACAGATATAAGAACTTATCTGAATGGTCTAAATTTAAGACTTACATGGTAAATAATTAGCTAATCTGAGAAAATGATTTTAAAAATTACTTTGTCTTTTCCTTACACCTTTAAGGGAAAGCCAAATGTGTCTTTAACTATCATACTAACTTTAATTTACTCACAGAGAAAACAACACAAGTGAAGGAGCCAAGAGATGAGTGACGGTCTCAAGTGTACATATTTCTTAATTCTAAAACATAAATTCGTTATTAAAGAGCTTCTACTAAGTTTCCTCACAGAAAAATTGTCATCCTAAATTTTAAAACTTCAGAAAGCAAAAGAGTGAAATTAAGTGATTTTTTTAAAAATTAAATACATTCTTACAGTATTTACAGGTTAGACCTATGAATGACTAAAGACTAATTGTGGAAATTAACTCATGATACATTTAACATAACATATAATAATTTTTCTGGGCAGTCTTAGTAGTTAGATGAAATAATTTTTTTCAAAAGCCAGTAGAATATTTCTCCTCAATCTTCATACCTCCTTTTTATTATAGTTCCATACTAAAGACTGGCGGTTCAAACCCACCAGCCACTCCTTGGAAGGAATGTTGGGCAACCTACTTCGGTAGTGATACCGCCTCGGAAACCCAAGGAGGGGTCACTATGAGTCGGATCTGACTTGATGGCAGTGAGTTTGTTTTTTGAGATACCAAAATATTCCTCCATTCAATTCTCACCTCTACTACTAAAGTCTTTGTGTTTATTTAAGGCTAAGCTATGATACCATCTTTTCAATCAAGGCTACCCTCACAATCTACCCTGCAGAAACAGGACTTTGAATTGATTCAAAATGGTTTAATAATTGCCATCATAAACAATGGCTGCACATGTGCTACATAGCAACCAAACCTGTTGTTCATGGTATTTTGATGCCGTAGGAAACAAACAGCTGTGCCCCACTCAGAGATGGTGGCCAACTGTGTTACTTTGAATGTGTGTTGCTCTCTAGAGTCCTGCCAATAATGTTATTCTCCAAGCGTCCTGCCATAGTCCTTCCTTCTGAAAGTTTCAGGAGGATGATATGGGAGACTGGATTACTGGCAAGACTCCAGGGAGTAACATTCAAAGCCGCAAGGTTGGCTACCTACTCAGGGCATTTGTTTCCTACTCAGGTCAAAATACCACAGGCGACAGATTTGGTTGCTATGCAATGCAGATGCAGCTCTTGTTTATTAAGCACTTACTGAACTGTTTTGAACCAGTCTGAAGCCCTGAGCAAAAAGAATGTCCTTTTTTTCTGCTGTCTCCAGCCTTTTCTTTATAAATCTTTTATACTACCTGTCATTCTACTTCTGGTCTATTTGCTGACATATTTGCCCTCCTACAATGTATCCTCACCATTGCAGCCAGAACAATCCTATTAAAACATATGGCAGATCATGCCACTCTTCAGCACAAAATCTGCCAGTGCTTCCTGTCTCTCTCAGTGTAAAAGTCAAAGTCCTTTCAGTTGACTATGAAGCCTTGCATGAGTTAACCATCTTGCCATCCTGTTGGGCACCTCTCCTATTATGTTGTTGTTGTTGTTATCTGCTATCAAGTTGGACCCAACTCATAGCGACCCCTCCTTGGGTTTCTAAGGCAGTATCGCTACAGAAGTAGATTGCCCCATCTTCCTTCTGATGAGTGGCTGGTGGGTTTGAACCACCAGCCTTCTGGTTAGCAGTCAAGTGCCTTAGGCACTATGCTACCAGCCTGCTCAATTACTGTGGGTCAGTCACACCGGCCTCCCTGATGCACCTAGTTGCACAAGCACATGCCACCTTCTCTGACCTTTGTACTTTCTCTTCTCTGATGGGAATGCTCTTTCCCTAGATATTTGCAGGGCTTTCTATCTACCTCACCTCACTGAGGACTTCCCTAAGCACCTACTTGAAATTATAATAATTCCTGTCCCGCATGTTTCCTGTATCCATCAGTCACCACTTTCTACCATAACTATCACTTAGGTATAAGTTTCTCCCAACTAGAACATAAGGTCCATGAAGGCAAGGGGTTTTGCCTATTCTAGTGAATGCCCAGCACATAGGAGGCATTTAGTAAATATCAGCTGTACTGAATTAAATCCTTCCTTGTAGTTGGTATTTATGTATATGGATTACCTTCCTTAGCAAGGATAAGCTCCAGTAGAGCGGATCTTGCCTTCTTCATTTTTGTTTTCCCAGCATCACCTACCCTAATGTATTATATTCCATAAGCACTCAAAACTATCTATGGAATACTGAAACCATTCAGTGTGCCCAAAAAGGTACAATAATAAGCATGCTTTAATAAATTTATATAAGAATTTCTGTTATCCACAGGGACTTGAGAGAATTACTAATAAATTAGACATCTAGACAACCAGCTTATTCTTCCTAAGGAAGATCATGCTTACCTTTGCTAGTTCGGAAGGTTAACATGGCAGGTTGTCCTTCTCCTGCTGCACTTCTAGCTACCATCAAAACTTCATAGAGACTAGATGGCTCGAGTTCTGTTAAATGGAGCTCATTTTCACTTCCTGGGACACGGACTGTGTGCCAGCTCCCCACCATACCAACAATATCATCGAGCTGCTCAAGAGAAAATAAACCATGAAAAACAGGAGATGAAGAGCAGAACAACCCTTCACTCAAATTTAAGAGTCCCTGGGTAGGCAAATGGCTAAGCGGTAGGCTACTAACCAAAAAAGGTGGTGGTTTGAATCCACCCAGAGGCACCTCCTACTTCCAAAAGATCAAAGCCACTAAAACCTTATGAGGCAGCTCTACTTTGACACATATGGGGTTTCCATTATTCTGAATCAGCTTGGTGGGAATAGGTTTGGCAAATCTGGCCAAGAAATTTAATAAAAACTAGAACTGATTTAATTCTAGATAAATTTTGGAAAGTGATATACCATTGTCAGTAAAAGAGACACAAAATTATAGCAAGAAATATAAATAGACCTGTACCTGCAGCAAGAGCTTAAGAATTTTCATGGCAAAAAGATCTTACAATTACCTCTCACTTGTGGCCTTAAGCGAGCTATTTTATCACCCAGAGTTTGTTTCCTTTCATTGTAATGGCATAGCTCCTTTATTAACAAACTTAATAGGAGAATAAAATAATCTGTATTATTCATAATATATATAAATATATGTTGTTGTTGTTATATGCTCTCGAGTCGGCCCCAACTCATAGTGACCCCTCCTTGGGTTTCTGAGGCAGTATCACTACGGAAGTAGGATTGCCCAACCTTCCTTCCAAGGAGTGGCTGGTGGGTTTGAACCGCCAGCCTTCTGGTTAGCAGTCAAGTGCCTTAGGCACTATGCTACCAGAGCTCCTATATAAATATATGGTAAATTGAAATATACATCATATGTTTGTATGTATACACACTGTATGATTATGTATTATATATTCCCAGCACCTTGCTTGATGTCTTGGTACATAATTTTTTTTTGCATATGTGTTGGTGGAAATAAATTTAAAAAAGATCCAGTTGGTTGTATCTTGGTTAATGGCAAGAAGGGATAGCATTACATGGAGGTTTCAAGGTAGATTAAAAAAAATAAAAAAACCAAACTCACTGCCATCAAGTTGATTCTACCTCATGGTGACCCACTTTGGGTTTCTAAGGCGGTAAATCTTTAAGGAAGTAGATTGCCCAATCTTCCTTCCACAGAGTGTCTGGTAGGTTTGACCTGCCAATCTTCTGGTTATCAGTCAAATACCTTAGGCACTTTGTTTATTTAGAATCATCAGGTTAGAAACAGTGGATAAACTTTCAAATATCACCATGTTAATTTTTTCAGCCATTAAAAATTTTACTATTAAATGATGGATACTCAAACAAATCTTAAACCAAAACCAAACACACTGCCGTTGAGTCGGCTCCAACTCATAGAGACCCCTCCTTGGGTTTCCAAGGTGGTATCACTATGGAAGTAGATTGCTCAATCTTCCTTCCAAGGAGTGGCTGATAGGTTTGAACCACCAGCCTTCTGGTTAGCAGTCAAATGCCTTAGGCACTATGTCAGCAGAGCTTCTAAACAAATCTTTGACAAAATTATTTTAAATATAAGTGTATCCTCTCCCACTTCCCTCATTAGTTCCATTACATACAGAAGAGATTTTTCACTTTGCTCTAACGTCGTCATTATTGTTAGGTACTGTCAAGTGGGTTCTGACTCACCAACCTCATAGACAACAGAATAAAACATTGCCTGGTCCTCACAATCATTGCTATGCTTGAGTCCATCACTGTAGCCACAGTGTTATGGGCTCTAACATAAGCCCATAAATAAGTGATCAAACAAGATTCTAATACAGTTAAGACTAGTAAAACCAGGTGCCCTGAAGTAAATTCCAACTTGGAGGGACTCCATGTATGTCAGAGTAGAAATGTGCTCCATAGGATTTTCAATGGCTGATTTTTCTAAGTAGATCACCAGGCTTTTTCTCTGAGGTGCCTCTGGGCAGACGTGAACCTCCAACCTTCTGGTTAGCAGATGAGTACATTAACCATTTTCAACACCCAGAGACTCCCATACAATTAAGAAGGCAATTTGAAATGCAAACAATTGTCACAGATAATGCCAGAAGAATTTGTTCAAACAGTTGTTTCTAACAAGAAACTGTTTTCTTTGCTAAATAAACTATATTCTACTATCTTAAGAATTATTTTCAAAAAGTGGTATATAAAGCTTTATATCCAAGGGGTTAAAATATTTTCTAAAGAATATCAAGAAGTTACTGGGTTCTTAGATTCCAAATCAGGGAGGAAATTATCTGTACTTCATTCTTAACGTTTTTGTAAAACTGGGAAATCCAGCATGAGAGCTGGAAAATTTCTCATAAACTTATCATTCCAGGACACTTCTGTTCTATTTTCTAGCACTCTACAAATAATCATGTAGTATACAAATAATTTTGAGGTGTGAGATTAAAAGATGTTAAATGACAAGACATTACCTTTCGATACTTCACAAAATAGGCATTGATAGGAAGTCCGCCATCCTTTCCAGACCTCCAGACCAGGTTGTATGTATCTGATGTATGAGTCTGTGGAGGGCTCAGGATAATGGGGGCATCAGGAACAGAAGCACTACTGGTATTTTTCTCTGATGAAGATTCCACTGTGCTGGAACGTAACTTCACTGGAGATGAGCTCAATAATCCAGCTTCTGTACCATCTCTTTTATCTCTGCTATCACTCCAAGGAGCATCAGACAGTGTCACTGTTTCTGCTTTTGTATTTGTTTCAAAAGGAACTGCAGATGAAAAGGGAAAAGAAATAACCTGAAAAACATTATCATTTCAAGGTTCTACACAGTCATACATTCTGAGAGTAATTAGCACCGTAGATGTAATAACATGTAATGTTTCCATTTATAATTCATAGAAACATCAAACTTCCAGTGGCCATCTCTTGCTCATGATGGAACAAATGAATTGTTTGAAAAACCAATTATATGATGCAGTAGGTTAGTGGTTTTAAAGGATTTTATTTCTCATTGCTCTATACTGGAATTCCCTCTTTTACAATGACAATTTGCTAGTTTAACCTCAGAAGATTTTAAGTTGAAGACTGAGGCTAATTCTAATTGGTAAATGAAACACAATGAGTAACACATTCTGTTGGGAACAAGGTGATATAGACAGGAAGGAAATGGCCAAGAGTTAAGCTATTATCTACTGGACAGCAAGTCTCCAGAGATACCTCCCAGGACTGACACCCTTGGACAGTGCCTCCAACTGTGAATTCAGACTGGCCCTTGGACTCACTTAAACCAACAGAAGGAAGAAGTGAGCCTGTACTCAGTTGGGCTTTAAGCCTTAAGAAGGCCTAGGACATTTTTTGTGTTCTTGGGATCCAGCTGCCACAAACAGATGCCCAAGCTTGTGATGTGGAGAAGCTATGTAGCAAGAGAGAAACCAAAAGACAGAGAGAGGTATTCTAGCACCCACAAAGGCACCAGATATGTGAGTAAAGCCACTGTGAAAGTTCCAGCCCCAGCTGCTATCTGCTACCATTGCATGAGAGACCCCAAGCAAGATCAGCAGAAGAACTGCTAGCTACATCTAGTTATCCCACATAATCATAAAAGATAATAAAACAACAGTTGTGTTAAGCTACTAATCTTTGGGGTAGTTAGCTATGCAGCAACAAATAACTAAATACTTAATCTAAGCACAGCAAGCAATTTCTGCATTCAAGAAAGGGTAGAATGAAACTAACATAACTAGCATATGTAAAGGAAGAATTTACTTATTTCTAGAACTTGTGTTTCTGCATAGAACTGAGCATTGGCTTAAGAAATTGGCAACCAAAAGAGAGATACAACAAGAAGACAGCCTTAGTATTTGCTACTAAAATCACACAGAATAGATAGAAGAAGGTAAAAATATGTTTTGCAATGAAAAAATTAACAGGTTGCATATCACCCCTGTGGTAGTTAAGGTTATGTGTCAACTTGGCTGGGTCTGGTTTGGAGTGGTTGGGCAGATGGATGTAATTATTCCTCATGATGAAACTGGTAATCAACTCCATGGTGGAATCTACTGTGAGCAGCTAAGTAGCTACCTTAGGGATGCGGTCTACTCCCAGTATATAAGAAGACACTTTGAGAAAGATCTGAGCTTCTTCACACATTTGGATCCTGCATTTGGTCCAGTCATCAGTGAATGAGTGGCCTGCCATGTTGTCACCAATCTTGGGACTGTTTCTGGCCTTGAATTAGTGCCCTGTTGTGTGGTTTGGTAACATTGGGACTGTGCTATTTTACTTGTTGTTCTTGAGTTTGTCACCCCCCGCAGCCACCAGCTGCCTGGGTTAAGAAACACCTCCAGCTCCAGTGGGCTGGGACCAAGAAGCAGAGCTGAAGCCCAAGGTCAAGGGGCTTTTACCCAGTCCCTAGAGCTGGCACTTTGAGCTCGGACTTCTAGCCTCCTGAACTGTAAAAGAATAAACCTCTGTTTGTTGAAGCCACCCATTTGTGGTATTTTCTGTTAGAGCGGCACTATAGAACCAAAACATGCCATCCCCCAAAAAAATTACTAAGCACATGCCATATGGTGTTTAAACTCTTCTACAACAAAATACTACTTCCAAGCTCATGCTAAGTATTTAATAAACATAATCATATTCAATTCTCAAAAGAATAGTCTTAGGTAGATAGTAATATTCCCACTTCATCGAGAAGAAATTAGGGTTCTAAGAGATTAAGTGACAACAACTGGCAGAATAAATGTTAGTGGTTCTATTGTAAAAAAAATAAAAAATCAAGGGATCAATTTATTAATATAGATATATACATTTACTGTACTAGCAATACATATGTATGTGTATATATATATTTATATATATATAGAGAGAGAGAGAGAGAGAGAGAAAGTGAGTCCTGGTGACACTGTAATTAAAGCATTTGTCTGCTAACCAAAATATCCGTGGTTTGAACCCATCAGCCACTCTGAAGGAAAAAGATAAGACAGTCTGCTTCCGTAAAGATTCACAGCCTTGGAAATCCTATGAAGCAGTTCAACTTTGTCCTATAGGATTTCTATGACTTGGAATTGACTCAGCAGCAATAGGTTTAGTTTGGTTTGTGTGTGTGTGTGTGTGTGTCCAGTACAATAAAAAATAAGGATTGACAGCTTGGTTTCTCTGAAGTGATGTTAATACTGGCAACAACAACAACGAAAATCTCCTATTTTTTACTGCGTGTGTGGAGGAGGGGAGCAGAGGAAATAACATTACAGTTATTTTTCCATAATGAGGTCATATTCCTGGTAAAAGGTGAGTGTGTTTTTAGAACTACTGCACTTTGGTAGAGAACCAACAAAAAACAAGACTAACAGTGTAAGGTCAGTTCTCTGTTTATTTAAAAGAGAGAAAAGGTATCCCAGAAGCATCCCCCATCAAGAAAAACAAGAAGCCAGTGAGAAAATGATGTCCAAGTGAGCTAATTAAGTTCACTGAGACAATTTCAAAATATTGCTCCTGGAACAACCCTGTTTATCTAGTGAGTCAGAATGCACATTGGATGTGAAGAGTGTGATTTGGTGCCTGTGCTTATAGAAAAATGGATCCCAGCAAGGAGAGGTAATGAGCTGTGGTTCAGGGTAGTGGAGAAAGACCTTTTACTATTAGTAGTTTCACACATCCTCTGGGTAGCTCACCACTGGCAAGTAGTATTTGATTGTAGAAAAGTTTAAACACCCTACTACCTGAGAAAAATTATACTGCAGTCTGCCGACTGTATGAATTACCAAAATCTAACTTCTGTTTTTTATGATGCAATGAGACTGTTACACAACTTTTGTTAAACGGGGGATTCCACTTACCTTTCCACTATTCCTAATAATATAATTTGGACACTCAAAAAATATCTTAAAAGTAGTTTCAAAAGTGTCTTCACATATATTATTTCTTAATTTATTTTCAAAACAACTCTGTGAAACAAGTAGAAGAGACATCTAGCATTCTTTAAGGTAGGATGTTTTATTAATTAGAAAAATACTGGCAAAACTCTGGCTTTCTAAGTACTATAAATTATGGCAGTGTAAATAAACTTAATGACTAAGTTGAAATTGAGTACAACCAGATCTGTCATGGATGTTCCCACTGTAATCACTCACAGCAGTAACTCCCATCCCAAACTAGTTAGGAAACCAAGCCAACTCCCATTATAGTTTCGAAGAGTTTCTACTCACTCTACAAATATGTGTACATCCAGGACCTCTGAAACTAAGGGTCTCTGGAAAGAAAAAAAGTAAGGGGGGTAGTAATTTCTTTCTCTGACCTTGCTTTCTACCCTTTCACAATAAACAAAGTAAATGACAGTGTGCTAGAATTTAATATGGCTTAGATTCCTATGGACAGAGTAGATTTTTATGTACTTTCTGAGTTTGAATAAACTCCCTAGATCTTAATAATTATTATACAGCATATAAAATAGGCAATGTAGGATCATTTAGGGAGCTCTGGTGGCATAGTGCCTAAGGCATTTGACTGCTAACCAGAAACCTGGCAGTTCAAACCCACCAGCCATTCCTTGGAAGGAAGGTTGGCTACTTCAGTAGTGATACCACAGCGGAAACCCAAAGAGCGGTCACTATGATTCTAATCAACTTGATGGCAATGGGGATTTTTTTAAAATTATTTTTAAATAGCTGATGGTGTTTATTATATGTAACAATGGAGTTTTATCAAGACATAAAATCCTGGACTGGGGTAAGGGATAATAAGGGTGAATCTTAAGGATCTTCTAATCTAACGTAGAGCAATTACAAAACAAGATAGCTCATGTAACTTCTACAGGCCTCAAATTTCTCATATTTAAAGTGAAGCAATTAGATAATATATCTAGTTCCATCAGCTACAACTACATCTATGTCTCCCTAATACATTATATTTACATAATATAATCACTTCAGCTGAATTCTACCCAACTAGCTCCTGTATTACACCTATCTCACAACTAGCAATTTTGAGCAGAACTACTCTTCACTTGAAGGAATAGATACACACACCCATATAATACAGTACTCAACTAACTTCTATTTAAAGATTCTTCAGCTTACTAAAATCAGGAACTATTTCTTCCTTCTCTAAACATAAGGGATAACTCCTTCCTTTATCAAAAAGGATAATTATAATCTAATAAACAAAAAAAAAAAAAAAACACTGCCGTAGAGTTGGATCCAACTCACAGCAACCACTCCTTGGGCTTCCAAGGCAGTATCACTACAGAAGTAGATTGCCCAAACTTCCTTCCAAGGAATGGCTGTTGGATTTGAAACCATGAGCTTTCTGATTGGTCAAATGGTTAATCAAATGCCTTAGGCACTATGCCACCAGAACTCCCATAATCTAATAATAACGCACTGCTGTCAAGTTGGATCTGACTCATAGCGTCCCCTTCTTGGGTTTCTGAGAAAGTATCACTATAGAAGGTGCAGTGTAATAAATTACTTAGTATGGCTTTTCTATCCATAAGTCATTTTAAACTCAGTGGTGGAATGAGCAACTGAGGAGCTCCTGATTGTAAATGTTATCCACCTGGGTTATTTGTTGGGTGTAGCACAATGCAATGTTATGGGAGGCTCTCTCTCAGGTGCTTAGAGTTCTGATGCTATGATTGGCCAGTTTGGCCACTCTGCCAGGCTCAAAAGGAGGCCTCCTAGAAGCAGAACTCTCTCTGACTGGTGGTTGAGGAAGACGTGCTGCTGAAAGAGACACATGCTGCTGGAAAACAGACACAAGAGACAC